TCTTTCCCTGTTGGGATGTTTTCCCTTCCTCTCTCTGTTGTAGAGGAGGTTGTGCAGCTACATGGAAGCATGGACAATTCAGCAGTCTTTATTTCTCACTGCTGATGATTTTGTTTGAGTGTTCTCTAGTCAGATGGATCCTTGTGTCTTGAAAGTCCCTGGCAAAGCAGAGATGTGGAGGGAATCCACAATTCCCTGAGCCACTCCTCAAGATTCTCTGCATCACTGCTGTGTGGCCACCTGGTCACTGCAGAGCAAAGGTGCCTGTTGGGGTTTGTTGTGTTGCTGTGATACGTACAGGCCACGAGGCAAGTGGAAAAATGTTCCATGGTGAAATAGGAGCCCTAATTCTCCAGTTCTCTGCAGGAGAAGCAGCCCCTTCCCCATCCCCAGGGCACACTCCACTTTGTTCTCCCAGGACATGCTGCAGATGGCATCCTCTTGGAGGCATCTGAAGGTTGTGCAATGTGACTTTGGGCAGCTACCTGCTGTAACACTTCATACCCAAGCTGCTGGTTGTCTGCACTGCCTACCCAAGCAGCTGCATCTCTAGGCAGGGAAACTGAGGCATGGAGAGAAAGTAAGAGACCAGGCAAAATGTTCTTGAGCTTCGTCTTAACCAGCTGCTTGGACATAATTTGTTGCAGTGACTCAAGCACAAGCTGAGTACAACTGCCAAAGCCCAAAAGCACAGAGTAATTTTGGTATTTAGACTCCATCAGCTTTTGCCATAGTCAAGCCCAAGACATGATTTTGGAGAGCAAAGCAAGGTCTGACAGCCTCTGAGGGAACACACCTCTGTGCCCCTCACCTATAAACCAGAGCCAAACCAGTCAACATGAAACTTCCATTCAAATCCCTCTGGCCTGGTGAGAGTTCATTTCTGGGGCAGAAAAGGCAGATACATGGGGAAAACAACAAGTTCAGGATGTTCAAGGAGCATCTAAGGGATGCTGCTCCTAGAAAAAAGGCTCTGGAACATATGGTGGGTAGATGATCCACTGTAGGACTAGAAAACTCTGTTCCTTGAGAAGAATGTGGGTGAGCCAACTTAGCAAAGCAAGCCAGCCTCTGTTAGGCCTGGTGAAGGGAACAGGTCCAGCAAAATCCTTCAGAGAGGAGAAAGTAATCACCCTGTGTGTGCCATTTATTTCCTGTCCCTCAGCCTAGCATAGGGCTGCAGAGATTTTTACCAGCAAGAGGAACTTGTATGGGAGGTGTGCAGGTCGTGGGGTTGTGTCCCTGCACGTGGCAGCAGGTCAATGTCAGTAGCTCTCCTGGGTATCACTGGACCTTCCACCACTGACCATGGCCAACGTGGGTGTCCTGGCTTCTGGGGAAAGTCAGGGCTGATAGTTTGTAACAGCTCCTCAATAAAGCAAGTATTTAAAGAGAAAGGGAACAAAGTGAACCTCTTCCTTGTCTTTCTTTCTTTGTTTCTTCAGTACGTTCTACCCACAATGCAGCAAGTGAGCAATGCCAGAGCAAGATGCTTACCAAATGGATGTAGGTGGTGAAGAGCCCTCTGGGCTCTGCTGGCTGTGTTGACCAGCTCTCCACTGGGCAGGCTGAGAGCTCAGACCACCACGTACTGACAGGAGGGTTCCAGGTGGTGACCCACACACAGGTACCATGAGAAGTGCCCTAAGGTGTCTGCACAGGGCTAGAAGGACACAGGCCTCATGGGAGGCCTTGACCTTTCTGGATGAGCAACTGGAGGTCAGGAAGGACACCTTAGGGCATCTCAAATGACACCAGGCACCATGGTGTGAGAAACTGAAACAGTGTCCCAAGTATGGATGTTTTCATCCATGAGCTAAAATCCATCCTCAGTGTCCCACTTGGTGCCACCAGGGTCTGCCTGGGGCATCACACTGTGACTTCCACAAGGACACCTCCAGAGAGATGCCTTGCAGACAGTTTGGGCTTCTGACTCTGGTGTCTGCTGCTGGCAGTTGTGTTGAGTGGGATGAGGAGCACGGAATAATCCCAGCTCTGAGAGAAAACTGGGTTTATCTGGGGACTGAACAAAGCCAAATCCTCACTCCCAGCAGCAAAGCAGCTTTCCTCCTTTTCTCCCTGTGCTCATTAAAAGGGCTCCCAGATAATAATACAATGCTTAAAATCCAGATCATTGCCCCATTCTCCACAGATTTTATACAGAAACCCACCTCTGTAAGCATCCACTGAGCAGTGTCAGTCCCCAAGAGAAAAGGATGCCCATGAGGTCTGGTTTTGCCTTCAAGTCCATACAGTAAATTCAGCGTGGTCAAGCTGAAACCAATGGAGTTAAACCAAGGCAAAATTTACTTTAACAAAGAGAGATCCAAGCTCTGATGGCTTTTAAAAGGAGAGCTGGTCTTGCACGACGGGTCAGTAAAGCTTGTCCTGAGAGAATTGCTGTCCTGTTTCTAGTCACGCGCTTTGTTGCTGTGGATTCCAGGAGGAATTTGGCTGTGGGACATTTTTTGATCACCTCGTTGACTATCTGTGTATATCATCTCAGTATCTGTTTTGTCTCCAGCACGCAGCGTGGCCTGGCTGGAGGAGAGGTGGAGACAGGCTGGGTTGGGGAGCACTTGCACGAGAGTTTATTTCATGCTTTGATGGAGCTGATTGGTGCTCAGCATGTTCTGATATGGTGGGAATAGGAGGGGTTTGGGGGCCAAAGCAAAAATCTGCTCCAACATAAGTGCCCTGGGATGTTTACTCACTATTTAAGAACATGATAGTTCCCATGAGAACTTCTTTGAGAATCCCAGGCTGCAGGGAGCCTGGTGTCCCCACAGATGGGGAATGAGGAGAGGAAGAAGACCAGGGTGGAAACTGGGTGAGCAGCAGGACACTCAGTATGACATACTTCTACACATGCTTTAGCTGTTCACTGATAACTCTATCATCTGCCCAAAGATTGGCAGCCTCCAGTGGGGAGTGGATGAATTACCACCACCACAGCTTCCTCTCTTCTCATCCAGGGCCAAGGTGATGCAAACAGGTAGCACCACATGGAGCCAGGTTATCAAGCCAAGGCACACTTGGAGCCACTGCCTCCATCTCCTGACCCAAAGTACAGCCCCCTCCCTTGGACCAAAACTTCTGCCTAATCCTCACCTGCAGATTTTTATGCATGAGGTCATAGAAAAATGTGTGCCCTCCTTTCCTAGGGTCAGTACTGGCCTGAAAACAAGAGCAGCCCCTGGGGTGGGGTGGGGTGGGGTGGGTGAGGTGGGCAGTGCTGCCCTGCAGCTCTCTGCTCATTGCACCCCATGTGGTTACAGCCTGTTGCTGTCCTTTGTGAAGAGACTGCTGCCCCATGGGGGACACTGCAGAACCCACTGCTCAGCTTTTCTTTCTCACCTCAGGCTGATTTCTCTCTCTTCTGCATCTGTCGGCCTCTTCCCTCCAGAGCTGCTCTTCCAAAGACACCAACCTCCTCCGAGTCACTGCAGACTGAAGGTGGAAGTAGGAAGCAGAGGTCTGGAAATCCTTCCCTGCCAAGTCACAAGATTTTCTCTTTTTCATCATCTAAGAAATGGATAGGATGCTTTGCAAGTGGAAGAAGATGCTGGCTGTTCTCATTTCTTCATGTGTGTTGCCCTCTGAGGAACAAAACAGACTGGAAAGTGAGGATCTGAACATAGAGGACAAGTTCTGCTGGAAGAGTAACAGAGTTTTGAAGTCACAAAAGAATAAGTCATTGTTGCACCTCTGCTGAAGGTCACTCCCCCTTAAACATGTCTGCAGAGCAGAAAACCAGTCCCTGCAGGAAAGCTGGGAACAGCACTGTTGTGAGCCCACTTTGGGGAGAAAGGAGAAAAGAAGAAACAAAAAGAAAGGCGAAAAGAAGAAACAAAATGTTGATCCTGTGAAGTAAAAGCTAAGGACACCAGAGAAGCAGTTATTCCTAGTCACTGCCTCTATTAAAGGCCAGGAGGACAGAGGATGGGAGCTCCTGTTAGAGCAGGACCTACACAGGTTCATCCTTTGCCTTTCCAGCCCTCTGGCATGTCCCTGCCTTACAGTCCTA